AGTCCCTTCCTTATCTATTCATGCTACCTGCTTAATCTTAATCTATACATTCCTATACAAGTCCCTCCCCAACTCTATCCCCTAGTTTTCTCACCTCTCTAGAAGTTCAGAAGAGTTCTAAAAATCTTCAGATGTATATGTTGTTTCCTCTTCAAACCAGATGAGAGTAAGCTTCCAATATTACCAGCCCTCTCTCACCTGGTTCTTCTGTATTAGTTCTTCCTTTTACACTCTGTTTTTATAAGATAATTTCTCCTTTTAACCTTTCCTACCCAATTTTGTTTCTTAGTATCACCCCATCATATACAACTCAGCCTCAATCTTTCTTTCTTTCCTTTTTTTTTTTTTTTTTGGCTAGGCAATGGGGTTAAGTGACTTGCCTGGGATCACACAACTAGTAATTGTTATGTGTCTGAGGCCAGATTTGAATTCAGGTCCTCCTGAATCCAAGGCTGGTGCTTTTTCCACTGCACCACTTAGCTGCCCCTAGCCTCAATCTTTCTTTCAAACTCTCTTAGTAATAACAGTTTTAAGAATACTATTAATTGCTAATATTAACAGCATTTTCATATATCATAAATAAATAGTTTGACCTTAATCAGTCCCTTATAATTAGCCTTTAATGATTTCCTTATATTTTTTATGGATCTTTTATATCAAAATTTCCATTGAGTTCTGATCTTTTTGTTACAAATACCTGAAAGCTTTTAGTTTATCAAATATAAATTTTTTTTTCATTCAGGGTTATACTCAACTTTGTCGGATAAGTTATTCTTGAATGCAACCTCAGCTCCTTTGCTCTTCAAAATATAATGTTCCGAGACCTACAGTCTTTTAGTGTAGAAGCTGCTATGTCTTGTGAAATCCTGATTTTTTTTTCCCCAACAGTTTTAAATAGTTTTTTTTCCCCTTATTGCTTGCAATAGTTTCTCTTTAGCATGGGAATTTTGAAACACAGAGATGATGTTCCGGTAAATTTTCTTCCTAGAATCTCTTTCAGGTGGTTATCAGTGGATTTTTTTTTCTATTTCTACTTTACTTTCTTGTTCTAGAACTTCAGGACAATTTTCCTTAATAATTTCTTGAAATATTATCTCCAGATTTTTTTTATCATAATTTTCAGATAGTCTAACAATTCTTATATTGTCTCCCCTTGATCTGTTCTCTGGATCAGTTGTTTTTCTAGTGAGATGTTTCAGATTCTCTTCTATTTTCTCTAGTTCTATTATACCTTGGTGTCTCATTGCATCATTTGATTCCACTTGCCAAATTCTAGTTTTCAAGGAGTTATTTTCTTCCTTAAGAGTTTGTATCTCTTTTTTAAATTGGGTAACTTTCTTTTCATAATTTTCTTGGGCTGCTTTTACTTTTTTCTAGTTTTTTCCTCATTTTCTCTTATTTGATTTTTGAATTCCTTTTTAAGTTCTTCCAAGATTTCTTTTTGGTCTTGTGACCCTTTGACATTACTCTTTAGGGTAGGAATGGCTTTTTTTTTTAAACCTCACTATCTGCCTTTGAATGTGAACCCAGATCTTCTTTTATATCAAAATAGCTATCAATGGTCAGGTTACTTTTTCCTTTGCTTATTCATTTTTATTTTGTCTTATTTTATTTTTTTTTAGCAGCTTAATGTTATTATTATGCCCTAGGCTTCAGGTCCTTCAATTGTTGTGTTCTGAATTCTGTTCAGGGGCTCAACCTCAGGGACTCTTCTCTTCCTCCCCTAAGCCCCAGCCATGCTGTTCCAAAAATGTTCTTGCTCCCTGTGGTCCCACACTCATCAGGCTTGTGCTTGCTCCTTGTTGCCCATAGCCACAGTCTGGGATTATGTCTGGTTAGCACCACTAGACCTGACTCCTGGAAATAGCAGGGGGTCCCCTCAATCTCCCCTCACTCAACCCCTGCTGTTCTTTTTTTTTTTTTGTGAGGCAGTTGGAGTTAAATGACTTAGCCAGAGTCACACACCTAGTGAGTATTATGTGTCTGAGACCAGATTTGAACTCAGGTCCTCCTGACTCCAGGACTGGTGTTCTATCCACTGCACCACCTATCTGCCTCTCTACTGTTCTTTAGATGAAAGTTTGTAAGGTAAAATTTCGTGAGGTGAAAGTTCCTGAGATGAAATTTCTAAAGGCAGTGAATGATGTGAAAGTTGAGGTGAAATTTTTTGAGGCCTAGTCTGCTTCTCACAGGGTCCACTATTTGTTGTTCAATGGAGTCGGCCTACAAATGTTAACACTTCACTCAGACCAAACTTCAGCCCTGGAGTCTTTTCTGAGGTCTTCTTAAGATGTCTTAGGAGGACAATTGCTTTACCCCTTTATTTTTTTCTGCTCTAAATTCATTTTGCGGTGATTTTCTGTCATTTGTGGACAAAATCTGGAGAGCCTGGAAATTTATGACTTACTCCACCATCTTCCCAGAATGCATAAAAAAATGTCTATGTACTTTTGCTGAACATTTTCTCTTTCTTTTTTAGTCTTTGTTTCTGGAGCATATATTCACATACCTATATGTTCCCCCATCCCCTATTCATAATACGTATACATACATATATGTATATATAACACACGTGTGTGTATGTATGGAGAAGTCCTCCTCAGTTAGTCTCCCATCCTACAAAATCTAAGCCATTCTTGTCCCAGACATCTATGTTTATTCCTGAAAACTCTTGAGTGTTTCCTCAGTGAAATGGTGCCATTGTATCTACAACAATATTTCTTACTCAATTTTAGAATAGTTATACAAATCATATCTGCCCTCTAAAACAGTGCTTCTGCACCATGCATACAGGTAGTAGAATGAGTAAATAAATATTTAAAATACTCTATCCCTAAAACTGTAACACAAGTATAAAATACGTGTTTAAAATAGACAAAACTTACAGGACAACAAAACAAGGTAGGCAGTGAACAGATAGGAATTTAGACTTCTTGTTCTGACTTTGCAATGCCCATAGCAATAACTAATAAGGATAAGTCGGACTGTGTCTAATTGTCTCATTTTAAGGCATTTCCAAAGCAGAGTAAACAACTTTAAACTTAATCATCATCGCAGAAAAATACACAAGACACGCAAGATTTTTAATCATTAATTCTATAACTTCCCAGTTCACATTTCTTTCAAGTCTTCAACATATCTATGTTGAAATGCTTCAGTAGTTTCCTAATTAATCTCTCTTGCTTCCAGTCTTCCTAATATGCAAATCTAACCATATATTCCTCCTACTTTATGCCCTGAAAAGCCACAAAAGGCCCCCTATTGTCTTTAGAATAAAATAAAAGCTCCTTAACTAGGCATTTAAGGTTCTCCACTGTCTAGTTCAAATCTACCTTTACTCATACTAACTCCCTTTCTTGTGTTTCGTGTCAGCTAAAATGTCCTATTTTTCCACTGGCATACCATAGCTTGCCTCCTCAAATTTGCAAACTGCCTCATCCTTCCTATATAATACTAACCTACCTTTCTATCTCTGAGAATTGTTTACTTCATTTCTGTTGTCACATCCTCAGTGAAGCCTTGCCTCATACTCTTAGCTGTCTATACTTTCTTTCTCCTCAAAACATCTTGTATTCACTGAGCTTTGCACATGTCATACCTCCCCAGTAGAATGCACATTCCTTGTTTGTTTTCTGTTGTTTTGCAAGGAGTGTGGTCCATACACAGCACCAGTGCCTTGCACATAATAGACATTTAATAAATGTTTGTTTAAATTGATAAGTGATTGTGTTTATAATATTGTTAATATTGAGTCTTTCTCCAAAGGTAATGTAAAGTGTAGAGCTGAGATTCTTTCCCAGAGGATGTAAGTAAATATACATAACCCTACTTTCAGGCACTTGCTGTCTTAATCTGGGCAAGTCACTTAACCTCTGTTAGCCTCAATTCCTCATCCTAATATCATTTACTTCACAGGGTCATTGTAAGTATTACATGGGAGAGCACTTTGGTAAAGCACTATTTAAATATTAACTACAATTATTATATTGAATATAAAGGAGAGAGAAGATGAGGGAAGGAGGGGAGGTGGACTGGCTTGTTAATTTCTTTCCCTTGAATTATTAGCTGTTGACTTATCTTCTGTTTTTTAGAACACTAATCCCTCCCATCCCCCAAAATTGTCTGTGATCTTTTGCTGTTCACAATGCTAATCCTCTGAGTAGTGATTAAATGTCACTCACTACTGGTTCCTAATTGTTACTGTTAATATTTAAAACATCTGTTACTATGTTTCATTTACCATTTTGCTAGAATGAAACTGTTTCATCAACTGCCACCAGTTACATTAGAAACTCGGTACTAGTATTTAGCTGGTGTTACATCAGGAAGTCCTGATTATCATAGCTAACATTTTGACATGTATATTGAAATTTCATATAAGAAGAGAAAGTTAAATTTTTTCACTTTGAGATGTCAGACATGTGCAATAGTCAAAGAACAGTAACCAAGAGCAAAATATAAAAAAAAAGCCAGTGGATAAAGAGAACATTTAGTTTATAATTGTGAAAAAATATGAAAAAAATCCCATAAGATTCAAACATTCATTGGGAGTGAGCGATGCCTAAAATTTTAAACACAAGAATAAAAAAAGTAGATCATATTTTTAGAAAGTTGATTATATCCTTGTGAAAAAAATACATTTTATCATACATCTAAGTGTCCGACTACCACAATCACTCACATGAAAATTATTCATGGTCAGAACTCTTAAATTTGTAACTTTTCTTTACCATAAGGTCAGTATTTTGTGGTGTTTAACAGAAACATACATTCCATTAAAGATTCATGCTGGAAAAGAAATAAAACATTAAAGTCTAAATTCATGGTAAAATGGATTCTTGTTATAGCAACCAAATTTATATTCAGCAATTTAATAGTGATAAATATGAAGATTTTCCACCATTTTCACTACTTTTATCTAAACATTATAGATAACTCATTTTTTACGTAAATGTTGAGTGTGTGTGTAAGTATAAATAAATTGCCAATAGATACCTTACCAGAACTCGTCCAGCACATCAGACTGAGCAAGATGTATAACTTCAACATTTGGAATTGGTGAAAAGTAAAATAAGCATCCAGTTTCATAAAGGAAAAATGTTCCTTCATGGATCAACCTTCTTCCCTGGCATGAGAGTCACATTTCTCTCAAAAAGGCAAAGTGAGTGGCAGGAAATGGTTGTCATGTAAGAAAAAAAAAACCCTGAAATGTTGTTTGACTTTTTGCCCTCTAGTCTCCTCCCCCTTTGCTTAAGAAGTTGAGGTACTTTCTGTTCCCTTAGTTTAATTTGTGGTTCACAAACATTTTGCAAAGCCATATTCTTTGCCAGATATGTAGGATTTAGAAAAATAGAAACTAATTGAATTATTTCTTGTACCCTCAGTGAATGGAATGTCAAAAATAGTCAAGGATTGAGTATGTTGGAAGCTTATGGCACATCTGGTATTCAGCACAGTGAAAAAGCATAGTAGAATTCAGAAGAACTGTGTGTGCTTATTCTGATTGTAAAATCGCCCTCCTCTGATGCAAAATTCACCTCCTCCACTTTGTCCCTGTAGGATAGTTCTCATGTTTATCACTAATCTTAAACCCTGGGATTATTTTAAAAGATAAACTACTAGACACTTTCTTATTTTTGTTAACATCAGAGATAAAGAAACAATAACTAGCATTTACATGGCTTAAAGGATTGTAAAGACTTGAACTCAGGTTTTCCTGAATCCTATTCCAGCACTCTATCCACTGCCTCATCTTGCTGCCTCATTCTAGACTCAGTATTTATTATCAAGTATCTTACCTTCTTAATCAGTTTTTCAAATCTGGCTCCTATCTGAGGTGATAAGTTTAGTTCTGGGAGAGACTTTACAAGTTATCTAGTCCAATTCTATTTTATAGATTAAAAAAAAACAGCCTGATCTAGGTTGAGTAAATTACGCAAAATCACACAAGTAGTAAGTGGAAGATCAGGAATGTGAACATGGTAAATCTGATTCCAAATCTGGTACACTTCTACTATATCATTTTCCCATGTTTTTATCTGTATTTATTTATACCTATATTTCTCTATCAGAAATGCACTACCAATAACATATAATATAAAAGTCTTGTAGATTCTGGCATAAAATGTGTTTATACATGCACAAAACTCTATGTTTGTAGGACACTAGTAGCTCTAGCTGATACCCAAAGGTATTTCAAGAAGACTTTAATGTAGATTCTGTTTTACAGCCTGTCTGTGAAGATGAGTGTAATATGACAAAGGGAGATTGGCTGTATAGTTGCTAGGAAGTAGTTAAGCCTGGACTGTTCCAGGTGGTGTTAAAATTGATTATCTGAAATAAAAAAGGAAACTGAGGCCAAAGTTACTGAGCCATCTATGATTTAATTTGTAGAGCTAACATTAGCATACCAAATCAGGTCACCCAGGTTCTCAGAGGTCAAAGACAAAAAGTGATTTACAGAGCTGGTTTTTATAACAAAAAGAGGAATAAAGAAAGTGACAAAATTTGTTTCAAACATAATTCAGTTGGACAAGGCACGTAATCTGACTAGTTAGTTTCTCACAGACTTTCTTAATCTCATCCCAGAAGTCTCCCTGCGGGCAGTACCTAAAGTATACTGGGAAAGAACAACTTGTGGCTATGGTTGGCAGTCACACCCCATCATCCTTAGAATATTCCATTACTCAAGTTAGATTCTCATTTAAGAAAAAAAGGAGTTGACTCAGACTGGAAAGAGGCACTTAACCTCAGGTTAACTTTTTCTCCAGCTGCCAAAAAGGGGGACATGAACTCTGGCCAATCTCTCTTTGTGCTAGAAAGGAAAATTTAACCTTTTGAAAAACCTCATAAACATGATTACTTTATTCTTTTAAATTATATGCTGCTAAATGATAAAATCTTCTTAATCTATCTATTCACCAAATCTATAGACAACCTAGATTTAAGAAACTGTCTATCTATGTTCATTTAGGGCTTAATTTAGGCCTCATTTAGGGCACTCTTCATAAAAAGAGGGAGGTTAATACTATACTCAAACTAAAATTAAATCAAATAGTAAAATAGAGCTATAAGAAGAATCATCACATAACTCACCTAAAACTTCAGAGAATTTCAATTGTTATATCATGAGGGCCTGAATCGGAAAATGAGTCTTTGTCTCTCTTAAAATTTTCAGGTAAATGCTTCAAATAAGAGAATAATTTTACCTTCTTCACAATTATCAATGCTATTTTTACATGTAAAATTCTTAACCCCCCTTTTGAAAATTGTGTCACATCTCTTATTAAATCACATCTCCCACCAATTCACATCTCACATTAATTCCCCTTTATAAGGATATTATTATCATATTAACATAATGAAAGGGTGTTGTATGATCTCCCATAAACTATATACCCCATAAATTATAAGGTCTCATGGTCTCTGTTATTTGTGATTCAAATGACAATTCAAAATAATCCCTTAGTATAGTAGCAGTATACTAGCTTATATCACTTAGTCAAAAGTCACCAATAGGGTTTATCTCCAATGTATATCACAATGAAAAAATGAGGCTAGAATTAGGAAAAAGTAGTTTTACACCTGCCCTTATCAATAGAGTTTACTGTGTGAGGAGAAAGACCAAAAGCAGCATTCGTTCTGCTTAATTTGAGTATGAGTCGTAAGCAGCCAATTGTATGACAAGATGTCATAGCCAGGCTCAGAAGGAGTATACATGGGTATAGGTATAAGGTGAATTTGAGGAAACAATATAAAAATAATTAAGGGATGAGAAAGAGGAGTACACTGGGTACACAAGGAAGGGAGAGGTAGAATGGAGTAAATTATCTCACATGAAGAAGCACAAAAGACATATTACAGCAGAGGTGAAGATGGGAGAGAGGGTGGGAGGCATCACTTGAACCCTACTCTCACTGTAATTGGCTCAAAGAGGGAATGACATACACAATCAGTTGGGTATTGAAGTCTATCTTAGCCTATAGGGACTTAGAGGGAAAGAGGTTAAAAAAGGGTGGGGGGAAGAGAGAGACTGATAGAAAGGAGGGCAGATTGGGGGTGGCAGTGGTCAGAAATAAATGCTGTTCATTGACTGATTAGACTGAAGCAGACCTAGGTTTAAATATTGCTTCCACCACCTGTGCTACCATAAGAAGTCAATTTCCTTTCAAGTATAATTTGTATAATTAGGGGGGGTCTACGTAATTTCTAACATTCTTTCTAAGTTCCCTGATCCTAGGTAAATGCTACAGAAATTTTAAGGATTGGTAGTTTCATTTGTTTTCACTCTGTATTCAAATTGCTAATCCCTATGTGACTACCATTTCCAATATATGCACTATATATAATAATCAATGATTATTTTTTATAGTCACTACTGATGGATTTGTTAGTATTCACAGGTTTATGTGGTCTGCATCAGGAAACAGCATGGTTGTTCAATAGATAAACTACTGAGTGGGAGTGCTGCAGATTCGTCTGCTTGAATTGCTTCTTTCTGCCTTGGAACACGAAGATTGTCATGTGTAATTATCAAGCTACAATCATTACCAGGTCAAAAGAGACAGACAAATAGACAGCAAGAGTAAAGTTTTATAATCATTAATGGATATGTAGTTAAACATTTGCAATATGTTCAGACACAAACTTAATTCCAATTGCCCTATTTACAATAAATACTGAAGACACAAAGCAAATCCCAATTCTCTTAAGGGAAGTAATGAGAAGAGAGGAAATGGATAAGGACTCTCCCTCACCACCCCTAAAGCCCAGGTGTACAATAACTACTGTGGAGAGAGGAAGGAAAGAGGAAAACTGCAATGCGCATATTAAGTTTTAGATATGAGAATGTGGATATCATTGTCTATTCTTTTTCATTTTATAGACAGGGAGAGAAAAGCCTATCCAAACATTTTACAGAAATTCTGCTAGTAAAAAGTAGAGTGAAGATTAGTTACTAAGATGCTCAGACCATTGTCATCTTTCTAACAGGAAAGATTGTAAAAAAGTATTACCTTGAGAGGCTTGTGAGTCATTACTGAGAGAATAACTTACAATTAAGAAATTTAATATTGGTAATTAGCATTTGGATAGTGCTTTAAGGTTTGCAAAACACTTTCCAAATATTATTTCATCCTATCCTCATAACAACCCCTGGAAGCAGGCACTATTATTACAACTATTTTATAAATGAGGAAACTGAGGCTGAGAAAGATTAGGTAACCCAGAATCATTTAGCTCATAAGTGTCTACAGCTAGATTTGGATTTAGGTCTTCCTCACTACAGGTCTATTACGGCTGTTAATTAAGTATTTCTCTCCATCATAACCTTTATCTATTTTGCTATTTTCCTTCATATTCATTAGAGTGTGAAAAAGGAAGTGGAGAGAAAAATGGACTTTTATCAACATCAGTAATTTATAATTTAAGTGGTCTGCACATTAGGCACAGAAGACCTGGGAACTCAGGTGGCAGTAGTTGTAATGACCAGTAGATAATCAGTCCTGCTCTCACAACCAACATTCGGGGAAGGAATTCCTGTGGAGAATTGGATAAGAAAACAAAAAAAGTCTATTACTTACAAGAAACAAACAAAAAATAAAACAAAGGCATATATAAAATAAAACTGAGAGGATTTAAAAAAGCACAGAAAATGAAATTTTAAAAGCTAATAAAAAACAAACTGATAAGGAGCAGAAGAAAGAAGAAGATTTTACTTGACTAGGTGAAAGGGGGAAAAGTGGGAGAATTAAATACTTTGATAAAAACAAGAAAAAGTAGTAAAATCACATCTTTTCATTTTATTGGATTGTTTAAATCACCCACACTTAAAATTAAGAGAGGGTTTATATTTCTTTCTGGTTTATATTTTCACCTGACTCTAGAATTTTTTCAAGTTATGATCCCCCCCTTTTTGCCATAAACATAGTATTATGTTCCTTCAGTTCCTTCAATAATTTAAGGTAGTGCTGTCCCCATTGACTTTTTTCCCTTCGCCTTTGAGCTCCTCTTCTCAGGTGTTACTTCTTTCCCTTTAGGGTTTTGCTTATGAGTTCCTTTTTCTCTGCTGTTTTTCTCTGGTTATATATTCCTTCCCCCTCTTCCTTGCTCTTAGTCAAGCAGAAAGCCTCATCCTCTCCTAGCTAATTCTGCTCTTTAGTTTTTAAATT